ATACAAACTTGTTGTATATTAGGAGTGACATATCCTAAAAGTAAAATTTGAAGTATAAACGAAAAGATATATATATATCTTATACAACCAGTGAATTGTGTATAATAAAACTGATATATTAATATTTCTTACATTCCAATACACCTCTTCGTATATACACACACACACACCAATCACTAACGAAAACAAACAACCGTGATAATTTAGATATTGTATAGTCATGCGGTGATTTAAACTTGCTTCTCAAGTTAATAAACAATACTCATTAATTCATCTTATCAATAAACAACAAGAAACAGAAAATGAAGAAGAACGAGACATGATATTTAAAGCAGAATTAAGCACAAAAATAAATCTGATTATAAGAAATTACAACAAGTTCGAAGAAATACTGAAGGAAGTCAAGCACAAAAATAAATCTGATTATAAGAAATTACAACAAGTTCGAAGAAATACTGAAGAAAGTCAAGCACAAAAATAAATCTGATTATAAGAAATTACAACAAGTTCGAAGAAATACTGAAGGAAGTCAGAATCTTCAGGAAGGCTGTAATGACAAAACTGAAGAAGTACAAAACAGGTGAAACCTTCGCCACAATATTAACTACAATGATGTTAAAGGAATTAACACTGTTACCTTGATAGATTTCGTTGGCAAATTAAAAATACCTTGAGAGGGTAAGCTTGACAGAACTAATTTCCAAATATTATTTTTAAAATAATAAGATAGGTAAGTACGACACTCTGATCAATTATTCGTTAATCGAAACCCCATTAGTCAACTGCTGTAAATATTTATCAAAACCTTATATCATTTTTATTATTTTAAAACGAACTACAAACACGAGACTTTCAAGTTACAGAAATTTAAAAAAGTCAAAGTAACAATAAGAATATTCTCCGAATTGTTATACTCACAAGAATTACTTCGACAACGCTGTCAACAGTTTTCGTTAGATTAAAGAATATTCTACGAATAGTTATACTAACAAGAATTACTTTGACAACGCTGTCAACAGTTTTCGTTAGATTAAAGGATATACTACGAACAGTTATACTCACAAGAATTACTTCGACAACGCTGTCAACAGTTTTCGTTAGATTAAAGGACAACGGATTTTTTAACTAGTGAGTATTTTCTAAGACTTTCACCCAGAGAATCTTGACTAGTGACTAACTAGGAACTTTGACATTTACAGGAAGATGACATATTAACTCTCACTACTAGATGGCGCAAGCCACGTTTAGGAAAATTATTATCAAATGTTAGTTTTACTATGCACATGTATCTTTGTTAGTTGTCACTGTTTTTCTGAAGGTTCTATACTTATCAATTATTTATACTGAATGCAAGATAAGTTGTCTGCGAAAAAATCTTACTGTATGCTATAATGTGTTCTTTAAAAGTAATATTAAATATAATTTTGTTTACTGTTTACTGTCAGAGGGTTGTTCATATATAGGAAGGTTTGTTTGTTTTTGAATTTCGCGCAAAGCTACACGAGGGCTATCTGCGCTAGCCGTCCATAACTTAGCAGTGTAAGACTAGAGGGAAAAATAAAAACCCGATCACTGAGATGTTAACTTTACTAATCTAATAATGGTAAAGATGAATTCGTAATATTTATACATTATATGTAGTAAAGGGGATAACATGTTAAACTTGGTTTTTGGAATTTTTCTTCAGATATTTCTATCTTTGTCTGAGAACTATCTGAGCTAGCCGTCCATATTTTACCAGTGTAAGACTAGAGGAAAGGCAGCTAGTCATCACCACCCACCGCCAACTCTTTTACCAACGAATAGTGGGATTGACCGTCACATTATAACGCCCCCGCGGCTGAAAGGGCGAGCATGTTTGGTGTGGCGGGGATTCGAACCCGCGACCTTAAGATTGCGAGTCGAGTGCCGTAACCACCTGGCCATGCAGGGCCAGAAAGAAAGGAAAGGAATCAATACGAATTTCTATTATCAAGTCAGCATTAAGATACAAAATAGAATTAAAAGTGGTAAAGACCGTGTTACAATTGAAACGTCTCAGCAGATAAACTAGAAAAAGTTTTGACTTAGACGTGGTAATTTATTCTTTATTATCATTTACCCTTTTTTTTTTCTTCTCACATCTTGGGGAACAACACTCGTTCAAGAATTAAAAGTGTTGATTTATTCCGATTTAAACTGAAAGAGCAGACTCGTTGATTCTCCACAGTTTACATATTACGATAACTTGGACACAACTTGATGAAATTCTGTACAGTTGAAATACACTAAAAAATCCCTACGTGATAGAAAAAAAAGAATATAATTTTCGATATCTACGTAGTTGAATTACGAAAAATCCGATATTAAAACCAAAATAACTTTTATGAAGTTTAAATTCACAGGCCTGTGTTATTCATGTTACACACTAGATCACGTTAAGGTTTTAATAATAATAATAAAAAAACCTTATCATTATTGTTTGTAATTAAGCACAAAGCTACACAATGGGCTATCTGTGCTCTGCCCACCACGGGTATCGAAACCCGGATTCTAGCGTTGTAAGTCCGCAGACATACCGCTGTGCTACTAGGTGGCCTCTATCTTTATATGCCATGTACTAGTAAAACGAATCTTTAAATCTGACACTCCCTTTTATCATAGATTTTTAAGCGAGTCTTATTAAAACCCGACTAATTTTGGGCCTCAGGGTAATATCGGACATTTCAAGAAAACTGAGTAAAATATAAAAGTTTTAATGATACTAAACCCACACACATCATTGATTTCTATCTTGTATGGGCGTAAAGTGATTGAACAATTAAGAGATGTTTAATCGCCCCCATGTTCTCCAGAACCTGAAGCTTACGTATGTAACGGTTACGAACCCTAAAATAAATATGAATTATAAGTGGGTATTTCAAGACATTTCCCACAATGCCAGAAATGAAGAACACTTTTCTCAACCTTGCACGTGCCCTCTTACGTCTGCATCAGGAGAAAGTTTTTACTTTGTATTAAAGATATATCTAAAATAATATTTTCAGACACTAGAAGGAGCCACAGGCAACCTACCTTGACAATGTTCCCTGACGCAATGAAAGTAAATTTATTATCACAATTCCCAGAAATATCGAAGCTAGTTTTCCAGAGTTCAAATTAATTTCACAACAATCAATATAACAGATGTATATGAGAAATAAATACATTTAAATATCCACAAGAACCTTATAAAGTTAACAAATTAAAACTTCAATAACGAAAACAACACGACCTTACTAGGCCTAACCCGATTTTTTAGCGTTGTAAGCTTACCGCAGAGCCACCTGCATTTTTTTTTTGAATCAAGTTCTACACAGGAACAGCTGTCATAGTTACATACACGTTCGTAAATGATGTCCAAATGGTAAGGGTGTCATCTGCTGAAGTACAGCTGGTGGAGTTTGTTGTTACAAACACGTCGCCAGACAATTATTAACATGGGGAACTAGTACACTAAACGTACTTTAAAATTTATAAAAACTTGGGTTATGTTCTCTACATAAGAAACGATGAAGTTAATAAAACTTCAGTTTAAAACAACTATTGCCATTCTGGACGTTTCTCTTAATCCAGTAAAAAAAGGCCCCAGGATAATCAGTGACATGTTGCTTACACCACTTACCAAAGTCTCAAGTGATGCTTTTTCCCACTCAGAGATCCAATACTTGTGTAATTACATTTATAAAACAGTTTTAAATCAAACTTTCCACTTAAAATGATTGATTTACATGTATAGTGTTTCGAAATATTTTTTTACTAACACGGTGATACTATATTCACACATGAATTTCAAGAATATTCTATTAATTTATTCTTGTAAATAACTCTCCTGGCAAGCAGTTCCAAATACTAAAAAACCCAGCTTATCCTTCCACTTGTCATGAATTCCCAGAAACTGGTATAACTAGGTGACAAATGGTACAACGAAAGACAGACTGGGTTTCACGTTTATTTTTAATGGGATTATCGAACTCTTTCACAAAAGTACTACAAAATACAGTATTTTAACTTTGTTTCCTCTTGCTTGTTAAAAGGTTTATTGGTTACTGTGACGTCACAAAAACATAATAGCCATGAGAGAGATCATAATGTCATTTGTGAATCAGAAAATATTTTGTTGGTTAAAATTTTGTTGTTGTTGTAAATATTTTCTTAATCTCCTTTCACCTAATTTTTACACCACTTTTGAGGCGAATTTTGTCTCACTAACTTATTATTGGTAGGCTAGTGGGTGGACCAACTTTCAAATCTCAAGTAAACTGTATTTGAAGTTCAGATTTTCTGTCTAGTGTGTCATTTTTTGTAATATCTCATGTTAAAACGTTTCATTTCATTAATAATTTGTAAAGCATTTGCATCCTTTTGTTCTATTATGTTTAGCAGTGATTAAATTATCACCATCTTTTTGAACTGAAATATATCAGTAAGGAAGTACACTATTTGGTTTCTTTGTTTTGTTTGAATTTCGTGCAAAGCTACAAGAGGGCTATCTGCACTAGCCATCCCTAATTTAACAGTGTAAGACAAGAGGGAAGGCAACTAGTCATCACCACCCACCGCAAACTCTTGGGCTATTCTTTTACCAATGAATAGTGGGATTGACCGTCACATTATAACGCCCCCACGGCTGAAAAGGCGAGCATGTTTGGTGTGACGGGGAGTCGAAACCCTCAGATTGCAAGTCGAGTGCCCTAACCACCCGGCCCGATTTGGTTTCTATTTCATTAAAACCAAAGTTGATACTTATATTATTAAATACATTAAAACATTTCAGTATCCTTTGATAACCATTTACAGCTTTTTTAATAATTATAGTTATAAAATATTCTAATCATGGGAGCTTACCAGTCTTGGGGGACAAATTGGAATATTTTAAATCAAACTACAGTGAGCGATGTTACTACAAATTATTACAGCTTGCAAACTATTTTCTCAAACTTACTTTAAATTTTCACATTTAGAAACTAGCCAAAGCCATCCACGTTCGTAATGTTTTATTATTTCTGATGTACAGACAAATCAAAGAATTAATAACACACACACACACACTAACTCAGACTACACTATGAACGAGTGAGTCCCAGATGGATCACTTCCTTCAATCATGCCAGTGACAACAGTGCTTTTGTAAACAAGAAGCTGTGAAAAACAAAACAATAGTAACTTTATACACATCTGTAGAACTAAGGAAATGACTCGTTTTTCTCAGCTATATACAACATCATCATTCTTCAAACAAATAAACTTATTTTGTTCATTAGCTGAACAATACCTTAAACGCAACTAGTAGTTACACGTTTCTTTCCTTATCCAAACAACTGGCACATTTCCTTGGAATGTAATGGGCAAGCTAATTATAACAATAAAATATTGAAATACTACAAAGTCTTAGTTCTGGAATAATGAAGAACTCTATAACCAGGGCTGTGAGACCTGCCCAGCTGGTTAAACTGCAGGCAAGTAAGGTTCAATGTAAACTGAATTTTGTGTAGTGTGGCTAGGTGAATCATTCTTTTATAAATACAATATTTTCAAGGGGTTTGACAAAATGTCTAGGTCAACCCCTCTGCTGGATAGAACTGGTTTTCAAACCGGCAACAAAAAGTAATATGGTTGATAGATCTTTATTTTGGATTTTTTAACTGGTTAGAGAGCCAGTCAAGTCCTTCGTACAATCCATCTCCACTGGTAGCACATGTGGCCTGGATGTACCAGTTACGATTCCTCAGCGAATGAAGGCCTAGTTTGTCTGTAATTTCTGCTGCATTCATGGCATTTGGAAGATCCTAAAAAATAGACTTTGTTTTACAAACTAGAAACATACAAAGAAAAAATAAGATACTCAACAAAAGTTTTCAGATCATTATATAATAAAACTAAATCTTGTTTTTTTTTTTCATATTTCATACTTGTATGTCTAAGGCCTTCCAATAACATCTGCTGCCACCAGCCTTTAAAAAAAGGCTAAATTGGACAAACTACAGGTTGATAATGAATAAAAATGGGTTATTTTTAGACAAATCTCACTTACCGAGTACTATAGTACTAAACATAGGTATGGATTTCAGATATTTCTTTTTCTCCCCAAACCTTCTAACCAATAAATATTCATGTATCACTGACTACTGTGAGGGTTGGACAGCTATAACTAGAACTCGTTTACCATTTTCTACACGGTATTATGGGCTATTAGCTTTTTTGTTTTTAAAAACTATATAGGTTTTCAAGGTTATGGGTCGGAAAAACAGGCTTTACAGGTCTGCTGGCTCATCTACTGGTACAAACTTCTCAGATGTTCAAACAATTATATCTACATTCATGTTTCACCAATAAAATGTTCTATTAACTAGATATGCCAAATTTTAGCTAGTTGGTGAAAGATGAAATCCTGTCATTCATACAAGCTAGATAGTAGTCATTTAATCACTGCAATGTTTGTGACTTAACATATATATATATTATGATAAAACAACTTACTGCTAAAGGCTATAATTAAATCTACAGGTGAGTGAGGATTATTTAAAACATTTTATTAAATGTACAATATAAATAATATATTTTCTGATGTATTAAACTCATCTAAATACAGGTTCTCAGTGCTTCTGACAAATTCACCAAACTAAGTTTAATTACAAACAAGTTTTAACACGTTAACGGTTAACCTCTAGCAAACCAACACTTTTACTATTGATTAAGAAAGTTTTCAACTTTAATTTTTATGAATAGACCATAAAGCAACGTGATGCAGTTGTGTTAACATAAGAAAAACACTTGCTTTGTTCCGATAAACCTCTTACTTTTACCAGTAAGTATTTTTGATGATATAAAGATGGGATGAAAAGTGTTTACTTAAAATAAGAAAACGCTCTTATTTAGATTGTAAAAATAATGGGTAAACCACATGAATATGCACGTAAAAAAATAAATTATTTACATTCTATACCTGTTTATTGGCAAAAATGAGAAGAACAGCATCTCTCAGTTCATCTTCAGCCAACATCCTCATCAATTCTTCCCTAGCTTCTCCAATTCGTTCTCTGTCATTACTGTCGACTACAAATATGAGACCTAAAACCAAGAAGCGTATTTGGGAAATGAACTTAAGTGAAACATTAACAATCTTGTAAGCTTCCTTATGGTTTAAATCTTTACACAGAATAAAATGTGAGGGGAACAAATACAAGAATCAAATGATCCAAAACCCTAATTCACTGTTATTGTAATAACTTTAATATTTGAATGAATCACTTTAACAAAGTACTTTACTTCCAATCACCCAGCTTCTTGTATTTTATAATAATAATAATATTAATGGGGTGTGGTCACAAGAATTAATACAGTTCAAGGAGGTAAGCTACGTACAAAACTAAATAAAGACTACAATGTTAAAGAAACGTAAATAACAAATCTTTTTTAACTACATACCACATAGGTTATTCAGTAAT